CCCCAAAACCCCAAAACCCCAAAACCCCAAAACCCCATGAGATGACATATTATTGAGATAGGAACTTTACGGAAATAATGGAAAAATCTAATTATCTCTGAATTCAATTTATAATAAGAAATACTTTGCATTATGATGCACCAAAATGTGCATAATTCTTACTCTCTCCTTTTCTTATGAAGCAGCTAAATCTTTGATTATTTAATGTAAATAGAAAATTTTAAATGAATTCCAGGTTCCAATTGCCCAAAATTCATAAATCTCATATAATGAATATAATCAAATCTCTACTTTTTATCGATTCTGACCAGAAGTTTCTACCAAATTTTGAACCTTAAGAGAAGATATTTATAAAGTGACCATGACAAGCAATACTAATAATTCCAATTTGGTTAATTTCCTGTTCGAAAGTGTTCGAACTCGTCACTGGGAGATTTTCAATAAAATTCTACTCTAATATGCACTTGATGAACTTTGGGATGTAGTAATAGCATGCTGAATCAGGAGCTCTGCTGAAGCATTTATACCATAATATGATTCAAAAAATAATAGAACAAAATTACTCTATGTGTGTATAGGATTATTACTATTATACTATCATAGATCAAAATATCGAGGCAGAGAAAATTGAAGCCTCTAAAGCTTAATGATTCCTGAATTTCACGATATTTAGATCAATAGAAAAGAAATCTATCTTACATTTCAATAAATGAAGAGATCTTCACTTATAGATAATATCAAACTTCTAGAATTTTTCAATAAAATTCATGCTTTTCTTTGAACTATAAAATTCCTCATTGAATAAATCATTGATTTATCTCCTCTTAGAGTATTCTCCAATCTGCTAAGTTGGGTGGGTATTGTTTCAATATTATTCTTTTAGATGAAATAAGTAATCGATTATTTGCTGAACACTATGTGGTTACTCAATAATAATACAAATAAGAATCTGGCGTATTCCCTCTTATATTTTATATACAAAGGCTATTTATTTAAACATTTTTGCCACTAAATGTAAGTCTCTAAGGCATCAAAATTGTTTTTGATATAGCTTCAGGCCTTGACCTGAACACCAGAGTACGCTTCAAGTAATAACTATCTAGAATTAGACTTTCCAATCATTAATAGGAGCTTTAGGTCTCAAATACCAGCAGAGAAATCCTATGAAATCTTGGATATAGAAATTATATAAAGAGTGATTCCTTGTTAAAATTATATAATTCATGCATATGATATTTTTTGGTAGTAAAGCTTAAGGACTGATGACATTAAGAAATTAGGAACGTAGTGAGCTAAGTTGGTGGCCCATGCAAAAGGAAAGCTTAAGGTAAGATTATTAAAGAACAATTAGGTCTTAAGATATTATGATGAGAAGGCTTGAAGGCCTTGGATGTCTCTCATCGTAACTATTTGATCAATTGGACTGATAGCAGGAAATTCCCTCTCCTTTCTTCTCTTTTTATTATCATTAGAGCTGCTGTCTGAGAGGCTTCTCAGCCTAATGGCTTTATGTAAGAGATCCTTTATTTCTTGTTTCAAGCCAACTCTCTGATCAGAATTGCTATGGCTTTGCTTGTTACTAATAAGAGATTGAGAGCTGGGTTCGATAGCACTTCCTCCTCTTGGTAGCTCTTTTGAAGAGGATTTTTCTTCTCAGAATTTCATATCCTTCATTCTGTCAGCTCCAAAATGAAAATGGAATGCAGAGTTAGACATGTTCTTATCAATATTAGGAGACATATTGACCCTTGAGGCCGAAGCATTCTCATCAAGAAGGTCTTCTGATAAGTTTTCCTCAAAGTTAATTAATTCACTCATATTTATATTATATCGTTACCAAATTTATTTACTTATATGGGGTTTTGGGGTTTTGGGGTTTTGGGGG